GGGGATGTGAGGGAAGCACTCAGCCCAAGGGGGCCCTTACCTAGGAGATGACACGGCAAACACTTGCATGAACCCACCAAAGACCAGGCTTGATTGGGGACCCCTTGAGAACACCAGCATGGACAGTGACATTCCCAACCCTGAGGTTATCCGCCACCCATGCACTGACTTGACTAAGACTGAGCTCCCCCCACCCAGTGGTAGAGTTCAGAATGGAGATCATGTTGAATTAAATGAAAGCCCAGCAGTCTGTCCTGCCTTCTTGCCCAGGTGGACTCCACGATGTCTTCACGAAGCAGAGGCTGTAGCCCGGCAGCAGGCCGAGTGGCGCGTGAGTGAGCTCACCAGGCTTGCAAGCCACCCCCCGACAGACTGTCATTTTCTCCATTTTGCAGATGGGGAAACTGAGACTCGCTCATCCATAGCCATGTAGCAAGTAAGTGCTGGGGTCAGGGTATGAACTCGGGTCTGCCTGACTCCTACATCAGTGATCTTCACCCCATGGCGTTGGGCCTGCCCAGGGTTGTCAGGCTCAGTGGACGGATGCCTGGAGAGGACATTTCACTGCAAGCTGAAAGGGTGAGCTGGGTACCTTCTGACCTGGAAGCCTTTGGTTTAAACCCACCCTTTGGCTCAGCCAGTGTTGCCCAAGCACCAGGCACCCAGGGGAGTCAAAGATGGATGAGAGCTGAGCCTTGGGGTAGAGAAGCCAGGTGGATGTTGATGAGCCCTGAGCCAGGGCAGCGACCAGGGCAGCGGCCAGGTGGATGGGACCTGCTTCCTGGGGGTGAGGGGATGGGGGTAAAGACATCCCTAGGGTGCAGAGTGCTGCTGGCTGGGTGCTAACACCTTACACTGAGGGAGAGGTGGTCGGAGGAAGAGCTGAGTGTCAGACGACTTTGGAGCTGAGACACTGTGGGCTCTCAGAGGGGGATGTGTGGGGCGGGGACATCAGGGCTATGGATTTGGGGCACAGGAACCCATCAGATGCCTACTTGGTGTCATGGTGGAGCAGGCTGGAGACAGTGCCGCAAGTGTGGGGCACCCTGAGGGCAGTGCCACTCGGTGTGAGAGGAAACCAAGAGTGAGATTAAGTCCGGGAAACCACCATTTCAGGATCGGGGGGGTGGGGGGTGGGGGGGCTGGAGCAACCTGAGACTGGAGGAGCGTCCGTGCGTTTAGGAGACATGCGCTGGGCACCTGTTATGTGCTGGGCATTGTCCTAGCCCTGGGAACCCAGCGGTGAACAAAACACACGGTCCCTGCCCTCTTGCAGCTCACAGGCCAAAGAAAAAAAAAACAAATAGTGCTTTACAGAACAGATGGTAATAAGTGCTGAGAGAAAACCAAAGCCAGGCGAAGGGACAGAGGATAACTAGGGTGCACAAGGAGGGCTTTTGTGGGGAGGTGACATTTAAGCAAAGACCCGAGGTCAGGTCAGGGGTAACACATGTGGGTGTCTGGGGGAGGGGTGTTCCAGGAAGTAAGGATTTTTGCTTATTCTGAAGAGATGGGAGCCCTGGGAAGGGTTTGAGCAGAGGAGAGACAGGATCTGACTTAGATTTGAATAGGACCCCTCTGCCTGCCGAGTGCAGAAAGTCCTGTGGGGGCCAGGGTGGAAACAGGGAGCCCGGATGGCGGCTGTGGTGACCGGCTAGGTAGGCAATGGAGGCGGCTGTCCAGGTGTGGCCGTGGAGGTGGGGAAAGCGGTCGGAACAGCATGTCTTGTAGATGAGGATTTGCCGATGGTGACAGTTTCTGGAAGGGTGGTGTTGGGCAGCAGTACTAAGTTTGTCAAGAGGTCAAGCATGATGAAGACTGAGCCTCGGCCCCTGGATGTGGGCAGTGGGACATGGGAGGCGACCTGGGGGAAGTGGACAGTGGACATGGGAAGTGAGGAAGCAGAGGTAGAGCGTACGGCCTTCTGAGAGCCAGGCCAGCGGTCAGAGGCGCTGGGGGGCAAAGAGGCTTGTTTCCTCTCTTTCTTCTCCTCCTTCTCTTCCTTCCGAAACATGCGAGATACTTGGATACGATTAAACACGAAGGGGAAGGACCAGCAGGGAGGGAGAAGTAGATGGAGACACGGGTGGGGTGGGGGGTTGGTTTGAGGAGGCTGAGGGGCTGCAGAGGATGGAAAGCGGCCTTGGCCACTGGAGGAACCTTCTCTCCGAGCCGGAGAAAGGCTCCGGGGGCTGGAGGGTGCACAGGTGAATCTGCAGGTGTGGGGCCCGCTGCTGCGGGGCGTCTCTCTCCTGGGCCCCATTTCTTGTTGCAGTAGGAGGTCCACGGTCTGGTGAGGGGATAGAGTGGGGTTCAAGATGGAGGCCTAGGGAGGGTGAGGAATAATCCATAGGGGACTGGAAACAGGTACCTGAAGAGACACACACAAACTTCAGGGCGGTATGGAGCCCCCACTGGGTCGGCTCCAGAGGGTGAGGCCAAGCGGTCCCTGGAGAGGGACCTGAGGGTGGGATGGTGGAGGCTGGACATGTTGCAGGGCAGGTGGGCAGAGGGGTATGGAAAGATTGTGCGTGAGGGCTGAGAGACAGACAGTTTGGGCAGGAATGAAACAGGAGGTTAAGTGCATGCGCGTACGAATGTGCATACGAATGTGTGCACGAAGCAGGTTGGTTAGATAGCAGTGCAGCCTCTCCACCTTGAAGGTGCATCAACCCAGGGTGTGCACAAGGCAATCTTGGAAAACAGGAGGAGACTTCAATTTACATGATTTCATATGTCCTCTTTTTTTTTTTTTTAAGATTTTAAATTGATTTTTAGAAAGAGGAGGAGGCAGAGAGAGAGAAAAACATCGATGAGAAAACGAGACATTGATTGGCTGCCTCCTGCGCCCTCCCTACCAGGGATCAAGCCTGCAACCTTTTGGTACACGGGATGTGGCCTAACCAACTGAGCCACAACAGCCAGGGCCATATGTCATCTTTTTAATGTTCATAATAATTTGTGTCACACCCTGTATCTATTATCGTAAATGGGCACATATGTATAAATATTAAATAAATATGCACATATTGGGGAGAGAACGTTGCCGATTGGGCATACTATTTGCACAATGTGGAAACCACAGGGTGAGAAGGGACCGCTCCCTGGAGAGGTGCTTTGGGGAACTTTCTTGCCTCCTTTGCTCTCACTGTGGTCTCTGAAATGCTGTCTGCTGTTTAATACATTCAGAAGCTCCAGGAATTGTTCACTCCTCTCCACTCTCTGCTGTCGGTCAGACTGTCTCCTGTGCCTGGAGCCTGGAGCCTGTTCTCTCCCTGGGTAGCTCCTGCTTATGGGGCCAGCCAGGCCCATCTGGGACCCGGCAGGATAACTTTCCTGTCCCCATGCCCACCGCGGGACAAGCCTGCCTCATTCACCTCTGTGCCTCAGTGCCTCACCGAGGGCCTGGCACGCAGTAGGTGCTCAGAGTGTTTGCTGAAAGAATGAGGACAGGAGAGCCCAGAGAGGCTCTGGCCTTGGGCCACAACGGCGGTGGTGTCCTTAACTCCTTGTCTCTGCCACCTCATATTCAGTTGATCAGCAGAGCCCATTGGCTCCCCCTTCAGAATATATCAGGGTCTGACCAACAACACCAGTGACACCAACACTGCTCCCCAGCCCTGTCCTGCTTCAGGCCTCCATCACCTCTAGCCGGGTGGCTGCAGCAGCCTCCAACTTGGGCTTCAAGCCTCCACCCTGTCTCCTACGGTCTATTCTGTTTAAACGCATTCAGGTGCGCCTCTCCCTGCTCAGAATCCTGCAGAGGCTCCCAAGATGCTCAGAGCCAAAGCCGAAGTCCTTCCAGAGGCCCCCAAGACCCAACATGGCCTGCCCTCCCCTCACCTCTCGGGTCTTGTCCCTCCCCCTCTGTCCCCTTCCTTCTCTGCTCCAGCCACACTGGCCGTCCTGCTGTTCCCTGAGCACCCAGACTGCATTCCCACCTCACAGCCTTTGTACCTGCTGGGCCCTCTGCCCTGAAGGCCCTTCCCCCAGATACCTGCATGGGCTGCTCCTTCACGTCACTTGTTCTCAGGGTTCGAATGTCACCTTCTCGATTTATCTGACCTTAAATAGCCATCTCTGGTCACTTCTTGCCTTTTTCACTCCTTCATTTTGCTTCACCGTCTGACATAGATTTTTATTGTTCATCTCTTTATGCCTCTTGTCCCCACTGGTCCAAAAGGGGACACACTGTTTATCTGCTGCCATATCCCCAGCACCTAGGAAGGGCCTGGCCTATAACAGTCTTATAGTGAATGAATGAGTGGCAGTTACGGAGTCAGGTTTCCAGTTCTGAACTTACCTAGTCTTGCTGTGTGGCCTTAGGCTTGTCCCTGCCCCTCTCTGGGCCTCATTATCTCAATCTATACCCTTCAGAGACAAGAAACCCATCAGCCTGGCCCTCTGTGCCCTGGGAAGCCTCTGGGATGGAAGTTCAGCTGCCGATCACTGCCTCCCACCCCCTGCATGCCCAACCCTCTGCAGCCCAGCCCAGACCTTCTGCAGCCCAGCCCAGACCCCTCTGCAGCCCAGCCCAGACCTTCTGCAGCCCAGCCCAGACCCCTCTGCAGGCCAGCCCAGACCCCTCTGCAGCCCAGCCCATACCTTCTGCAGCCCAGCCCAGACCCCTCTGCAGGCCCAGCCCAGACCCCTCTGCAGCCCAGCCCATACCTTCTGCAGCCCAGCCCAGACCCCTCTGCAGCCCAGCCCAGACCCCTCTACAGCCCACCCAGACCCCTCTGCAGGCCAGCCCAGACCCCTCTGCAGCCCAGCCCAGACCCCTCTGCAGCCCAGCCCAGACCCCTCTGCAGGCCAGCCCAGACCCCTCTGCAGCCCAGCCCAGACCCCTCTACAGCCCACCCAGACCCCTCTGCAGGCCCAGCCCAGACCCCTCTGCAGCCCAGCCCAGACCCCTCTGCAGGCCCAGCCCAGACCCCTCTGCAGCCCAGCCCAGACCCCTCTGCAGCCCAGCCCAGACCCCTCTGCAGCCCAGCCCATACCTTCTGCAGCCACTTTGTGTTGTTCTCCAGCACCTTCTCCAGGTGTTGCACACGCTGGGTAGGCCAGTCCCCTAGGTTCAGTGCAGTGGCTGGCGAGTCCCTCTGGAGGCTGTTGGAGCCCCTGAAGGCCTCAGGCTCTGGGGGGCAGGGCTCAGGCTCGGGCAGCAGGAAGGTGTAGCTGCACTGACCATGCTGCACTCGGTGCCTCTGGCGGCGCGCTCCCGCCCCCTGCCCCCTTCGCTGGGCCACAGTCATGGTAGCCACCATGAGAAGGAGGCCACCCAGCAGCATGGCTGGCCAGGAGAGCATCCAAAGATGTGGTGATGGTGAGGGGTGTCTGGTCAGAGCTTCTAGGGCCCTGCTCGAGCCCAGGATGTACCCACTGGCCAACAGTGGACAGGTCTGCCTGCAGAGCTGCTGCAGCTGCAAACCCCTGTTTGGCCAAGCTCCACCCAGAAAGCTATTTATACTTGTTCCAAATGCCACAGCTGCTCAGCTCCTCCCACTGCCTGCTGCTCCAGCCAGGCTCTTCCTCACCTCTATTCTTCCCCTTTCCCTTCCTTCCTCACTTGCTCTCTTGCCCCCCTGTCTGCGCAGCAGCCTTGCTCTGTGGAGAGGTCTCAGAGCCCTTTTATTATCCAATGGGGGCCTGGCCTCCCTTCCAGTAGCAGGACAGAAAAGAACACACAGACACGTGCACACAAGCTCACAGACTCCCATGCAAACACCGAACCCCCAAGGCTGCCTGCTTCAGAAAACCAAACCAACTGAACTTTCTCTTCCGGTCTCTGTCTCTGTCTCTCTTTCCAACCTCCTCCCACTAAGGCTGGAATCTCAAATTTCAGTACCCCATGCCTCCCCTTTCTACCCCGCCCCCAGCATGCTCCCGCTCTAGTTCCAGGTTAGCACTTGGAACGCAAGTGAACCGCCCCCCGGAGAGAGCAAAGGGAGGCAGAGGGGTGAGGCTGGGGAGGAGGCAGCCAGTCCAACCTGTTTCGGGAGACAGCAAATGCTTTCGAGGCCAGGGAAGCGGATGCTTCACCCTGGAACTGTCTCTGTCCTCCCTTCTCCCTCAAGGGATGTTATGCCCTGAGGTGGCCCTGGCTCAGTTCCTGCGACAGTACTGAGAGGTTGTCCTGTTCTGGGGCAGATTGTTCTGGAGCCGCTTTTGGCTGGAGGGGAGGCAGATGGTGGGGAGAAGAGCTCGGGATGCAGCCTTGCAGTCAGAGGTGGCTGGCTCTAAACCCTGTTCCCCGACTGCCGACTCTGAGACGTTGGGCGGGCAGCTTCACCTCTCTGGGCTCCCATGTTCCGATCCAGCAGCCGAGTAAATCCCATCTCGTGCATGAGGCATGCATGTGAGTCCTCAGCGTGGGGACTGGGGGATTTTTGATTTCCTTGTTTACCTGTTCACTGCTTCAAATCCTGGCTTCACGGCGTACCAGCTGTTTGACTTTGGGCAAGTCGCTTAACCTCTCTGTGCTTCTGTTTCCTCTAGGTAAACGGAGGAAAATACCATCCATTTTACAGGGTGTAAAAATTAAGTGAGTTAGAGCCGTGCTGGTACTGGGTTAGCACTAAATAATGATTTATTTATTTAAATTATTTTTATTAATTTACTTTTGTTACAGATGTGTCTCTTTTTCCCCCCATTGACACCCTCCCCCCAATCTCTAAATAATTACCCCGTCTAAATAATTATTTGAAATGGTCAGTGTCATAGTTTTCATCTATCTCCCCTCCCCCAACCCACCGGAATGTTCCCCGTGAGGGCAAGGATTTGGCGGACATATTGCTGGGCAGGAGGTGCCAGGAGGTGGTTGGGGCTCTGCTGGGTGGGCTGCCTTCCGGCTTTCTCTGCTCTTTCTCCCAGAGTGGGGGCAGATCCGGCTGTTGGTATTGTTTTTTTCCCTTTGTTTTCCCAAATCCTGTCGGAGTTTTGAACAGGGCAGGCTGCTTGGGACAGTGCTGAACTGGGGGCTCATCCGGGGGACTGAGAACATTCAACCAGGTGTGTGGGGCTTTGGCAGGAAAAGGAAAGGCAGCCGGTTATCAGGCACCGGCATTCGCTGAGCTTCCCATGTGCTAAGAGCCCTGTTCTCACCTCTGCCTCAGCTAGCGGGGGTCAGACCACCTCCGACGTTGCAAGGAAGGAGCGTCTTCATACAGGTTGAGAGCTTATCACAGTGCCTGGCACAGATGAGTCCAGAGTAAGAGCCTATTGTTAGGATTGAGTAGGCTGAGCTTCGCAGTCATCCCGGCGTTATTGTCCTCCCGTTTTACAGAAAACTGAACTCCAGGGTAAGAGAAGGATTGGCCCAAGGTCACACAGCCTGAAGGGCTTGGCCTGAACTGAAGAAGGAGGTAGACTTAGCCTCCAGGCTGGCCCCAGAGCCCAACCTGCTTCCTCCCGCGTATCCTCCCAGGACAGTGTGCAAGCACAAAGCCCCCCTCATCCTCCATCTCCTCATCTGTGCACTAGAGAGAGCTTTAAACCTCCTCGTGGGTCATCATGATGATGATGGGAAGCTCCCGGCACAAGTGATGCATTTCATCTTATGGATGGAAAGAATGAATGAATGAAATGTAATTTTCTTCCCTGCGTAGACTTAAATAGACACAGGTCCTAAAATTACACAAGGTTCTCTCCATATAAAAGAAAAAACAGAATTACCTGTCCACAGAAGAAATGTAGATAGGATCAAAAGAAGATTCTAGAAAGCCTGGGAGATGGCCCGGCCCACCTGTGCATCTTTGCAATGGCTTGTTCAGAGCACTGCTGTCCACCCACCCTCACCCCCGCCTTCCATCAGTTTTCCAGTTACTGTGGCTGCCAACAAATTAATTCAAAATTGAGTGGCTTAAAACCAAAATAACCATTTATTATTTCTCAGAGTTTCTGTAGATCAGGAATTTGTGAGCAGCTCAGCCGGACAGTCTGCTCAGGTTTCTCATGCGGTTACAGCCAGGGAGTGGCTAAGCTAGGTCATCTTGAGGCCTTCTTCAACTCACCTGTCAGCGCCTGGGCATTCCCCCTCCCCGCTGCCCCCCACCCCCCCTCATGGTGTCTCCAGCATGGTGGGTTCAGGCAGCCAGGCTTTTTACATGGCCACTCAGGGCTACAAGGTGCACGTTCCCAGAGAGCCAGGTGGAAGTTATACCACCTTTTTGACTTAGCCTCAGAAGTCATTCAGTGGAACTTCTACCACATTCTATTGGTCAGGTCTTCCCAGACTCAAGGCAGGGGACATAGACCCCACCTCTCTATGGAAAGATGTCATTGTTACAAGAAGAACATGCAGGAAAGGTGTGTTGCTGTGGCCACCTCTTGGAAATGCTACAGGCAGGAGAATTGCTTTTCATCTTTCTTTCTTTTTTTTTTTTTTTAGCTTAAATATTGCTGACACATGCTCATATAGCCCCTTAGCCCTGTTCAAGTTTTATTTTTTAAATTAATTATTTTTATTACAAATGTCTTGCCTTTTTCTCCCACTGACATCTCCTCTCCACCCCACCCCTCAGCCTTCCCTGCCTTCACTGCGCTGTTGTCCGTGTCCGTTGGTTATGTCTAAATGCATGTAAGTTTTTTGGTTTCTCTTCCCACCCCACCCCCCAAACCCCCCTTCCCTCTAAGATTTCTCATTCTCTTCCCTACTTCCATGTCTCTTGATCTATTTTGTTCATCTGCTTATTTTGTTCATTATATTCCACAAATAAGTGAGATCATGTGATACTAGTCTTTCTCTGATTGGCTTATTTTGCTCAGCATAATACTCTCCAGGTTCCTCCATGTCGTCTCAAAGGATAAGAGATCTTTCTTTCTTACAGCTGCATAGTACTCCATTGTGTATATGTACCATAGCTTTTTTATCCACTCATCTATTGATGGACACTTGGGCTGTTTCCAGATCTTAGTGATTGTAAATAGTGCTGCTATGAACATAGGGGTACATATATTCTTTCTGATTGGTGTTTCAGGCTTCTTAAGATATATTCCTAGAAGCTGAATCACTGGGTCAAACGGCAGTTCCATTTTCAATTTTTTGAGGAAATAGCATATTGTTTTCAATAGTGGCTGCACCAGTCTGCGTTCCCACCAGCAGTGTACTTTTCTTCACACCCTCGCCAGCACTTGTTGTTTGATGATTTGTTGATGGCAGACATTCTGGCAGGTATGAAGTGATACCTCATAGTTCTTTTAATTTGTATCTCTCTGATGATTAGTGACATTGAGCATTTTTTCATATGTCTCTTGGCCATTTGTATGTCCTCTTTGGAGAAGTGTCTTTTCAGGTCCTCTGTCCATTTTTTAATTGGGTTGTTTGCCTTCCTTTTGTTGAGTTGTATGAGCACTCTATATATTTTGGAAATTAAGCCCTTATCCAATTAACATTGGCAAATATGTTCTCCCATACAGTGGGTTCTCTTTTCATGTTGATGCTGGTTTCTTTTGCTGTGCAGAAGCTTTTTAGTTTGACGTAGTCCTGTTTATTAATTTTTTTCTTTGTTTCTCTTGCCCTAGGTAATGTATCAGTGAAAATTCTGTTACGTCTGATGTTTGAGATTTTGCTGCCTACATTTTCTTCTAGGATTTCTATGGTTTCATGAGTTACATTTAAGTCTTTTATACATTTTGAATTTAATCTTGTGTATGGTGTAAGTTGGTGATCTGGTTTCATTTTTTGCATGTACCTGTCCAATTTTCCCAATACCATTTATTGAAGAGATTGTCTTTACTCCATTATATTCTCTTGCCTCCTTCGTCAAATATTAATCGAGCGTAATGTCTTGGGTTCTCTGTTCTGTTCCATTGATCTATATGCCTGTTCTTGTGCCAGTACCAGGCTGTTTTTATTACAGTGGTTTTGTAGTATAACCTGATATCCAAAATTGTGATCCCTCCAACTTTGTTCTTCTTTTTTAAGACTGCTGTGGCTATTTGGGGTCTTTTTTGGTTCCATATGAACTTTTGGAATATTTGTTCTAGATCTGTGAAATATGCCATTGGTATTATAATAGGGATTGCAATAAATCTCTAAATTGCTTTGGGTAGTATGGACATTTTAATTATGTTAATTCTTCTAATCCATGAACATAGTGTATGGTTCTACTTTTTTTTTTTTTTTTATCTTCCTCTATTTTTTTTCAATGTCTTGTCATTTTATGAGAACAAGTCTTTTACCTCCTTGGTTAAGTTTACTCCTAGGTATTTAATTTTTTTGTTGCAATGGCAAATGAGATTTTTTTTAAAGTTTCTCTTTCTGTGTGTTTCCTGTTCAAATTTTAAATCAGAACGCCCCCCCCCCCCCATAGACTTACCCCTTTATCTGAACCCTTCTCAAGGTGCTAAGAGGTTAACTACTTGTGTAATTACTCATCT